TACCTCTGTCCGAGTCCAAGTCAGAGTAACTCAAGGCGTGTCCGAGTAGAGTCTGAGTCATCATTACCTATGTTCGAGTCCAAGTCCAAGTCACCCAAGGAGTGTCCGAGTCGAGTCCGAGTCATCATTACCTATGTTCGAGTCCGAGTCCAAGTCACCTAAGAAGAGTCCAAGTCAAGTCTGAGTCACAAGTCTTCATGTATTAACCTTCGTGGATATATGTGTTGAAATGTAGCTGTCCTCTTCATTGCTTTTATCCTGTCATGTTATACTAATCTGTCTATTGGACTGCTGTGAAGCGAGTTTGGCTACAATTTCTTAGTAATAGGTGCTATACAAATATAAAGCTTNTCATGTATTAATCTTCGTGGATATACAGTGGGGCAAAAAAGTATTTAGTTAGCCACCAATTGTGCAAGTTCTCCCACTTAAAAAGATGAGAGAGGTCTGACAGACCTCTCTCATCTTTTTAAGTGGGAGAACTTGCACAATTGGTGGCTAACTAAATACTTTTTTGCCCCACTGTATATCCACGAAGATTAATACATGAAGACTTGTGACTCGGACTTGACTTGGATTCTTCTTAGGTGACTTGGACTCGGACTCGAACACAGTTAATGATGACTCGGACTCGACTCGGACACTCCTTGGGTGACTCGGACTGGGACTCGACTACTACTCTCCCTTGGGTGACTCGGACTTGGACTCGGACTCGACTACGACTCTCCCTAGGTGAATCGGACTCGACTACGACTCTCCCTTGGTGACTCGAACTTGGACTCAACTACGACTCTCCCTAGGTGAATCGGACTCGGACTCGAAGAGTGGTGACTCGAGAGTGACTTGGAATCGTGAATTGGTGACTTGACTACAACACTGACCCACACCAAATGATTACAAAGTCTCTTTTGATCTCAACTGAAAGTCAAATCATTGATCAGTTCTGTTCTGAACATATGTTGTTCTCAGTACTGGCAGAAGACTGTCCAACACTGTAACCATACTCTGTTTTATAAAAAAACTGAGAAAAATGTCATTAATATGGTCTGAAGTGCTAAAATGCTAGCATAATAGCTAGCGGTACACTTCTCAGGTTTGCGTTTCGCCAAGTTGTCTCTATATTCCTTATACAGTTATGATATACAGTATAACTGTATTGAAATATGTATTAAGTCCTATCAGTCTGGTAATAGTGGCTTATAAAATAAATTCCAGGATGCTCGTCATGCTGCAGAGGGAGAGATTTATACCAAACTCAACCAGAAGATCGATGAGTTCATCCAGCTGGCGGACTATGAATGGGGGATGGCTGAGTCTGACGGGCGAGCCTCAGGATACCTCATGGACCTGATCAACTTCCTGCGCTCCACCTTTCAGGTCTTCACACACCTCCCGGTGAGTCTGATCCACCAATCGTTGACACACTGATTATCTTTGAACTGTCGGTACAATGTCTTTTTAGTTTTTGATCACATCTTATCAGCTTTTGATGGTGTTTGGCAGTTTCCATTGTGTCTTGTTATTAGTAGGGATGTGATTTTCTTTTCTTTACATTTTCCCGTAACCCCACCTGTTTTCCTGGTGTTTTGCTACATGTCCATCACATCCTTAATGTTATGTGTGTAGAGTTTTACATTGTTAATTTAAGGGTGTTTGGTAGTGTGTCTGTATGCATGTTTAGTGTGCTGTTACTGACTGCTTTTGCACACACTGCCATTATGTTCAACAAGACATATTTAGTGATATCAAAGGGTTAAAGGTCAGTTAATGTGTTTTAATAGCACAGATACAACTTGTTGAGTTCCACTCCTGCATTTCTCTCCGTCTCTTTTCCTGTCTTGAATAAATTCTAGATTATTTCTATAAGAATGTCTGCTTTCTCCATTAACCCCCCTTCTAATAAGCAGCGCTGTTACTGATTTGTTTTCCTAGCAGTTTTATTCCTTGATTAATTTGACTTACCAAGCATGAAAGCTATCTCTAGTTGAATTTACCTCCTCCTGTCCATTTATTGTTGCCACATTTATTTTCCTGTCCTTTCCCTCTTTTCCTCCCCTCCTCCATTTTTGGTTGGTTTTGGGGTGTCTCTGCTCAGAATAACAACAATGACCATGCATCGATGTCGGTGAGTATTCCTGCCTGGCTGTTACAACACTATGCTGCCATACACAGGCAGAGGGGAGATGTGAAGCATGCTAATGTTCCATTACTTTTTCGGACACCTGTGGTAACGCCACACGGATGTGCGCGTTGTTCCATTCATAACACACACGTGTCGGTTTGGAGTTCCATGCATGTGCATTTACTGATCTACACTGCATTATGTCTAATTCCATTTATCCTTGTATTTCTTAAAATGACATTTAGATGAATCTTGGTAACGTCCATAACGGTAAATCTCCCCACACACCTATCTACCTCTATAAAACAATCACTTAGTTTTTCATTTGTTACTAGTTTTATTCAGTTAACATGCTAGTGGTGCATACACCACCAACTGGACTGGGTTATTTGAACAACATTTTCTGTGCAAACGCCTAATAATTGTTTACAGTTTAAAGATTACAGTCAATGCAGTCACACATGTTGGGCTGCACGCGATAATGTAATTTGCCAAGGCCCATGGTGGACAGATGCAGAAAATATGAATTTGCTTTTACACATAATTTCCACATTGGCATAGTTGGGTTCTGTCATTATTTCATCTTGGATTATATTAGAGTTTTGACTGTTTAAGAGAATGTATAGCATCTGGCCAAGGAACCATAATGTAAGGCATCCAGTGCACTCTTTTGCCCTCATACAATGTCATGTTGCAATTTTTTTACAAGAGACACATTTCTATCCAAACGGAAAAGGACACTGGTACAAGTGAATGCAATTCTTCAATAAATAAAAGTGTTTAAGCGTAAATGATGGTCAGTAAGGCTAAACACCAAAATGGACTGTGACAAGAACTGGCTCCTTATTGCAGCTGGCTAGGAAGGCACCGAGACAAATTCATCCATTCAGTTTTACATTTTGAAGATGGCTGTAAATGTAAGACAACTTTAGCTTTTCAGGTTGTTTGTGTAAAGTTCTCTGTCCACATCACATTGGATAAAATGGCTAATCTCTCTTATCATGCATTGAAGCCATCCTCAAACCATTGTTTTTCTAAACTTATGATTTAGTTGATCTCATTTACATGCTTTTTTTATTCTGACCATCATCATCAAACAGATCAACATAAATACAGTTAAATGGTAGCATATGTGCTGCTTGATTTGGTGAACTGACATTTCATGTAAATCATCTTCCTAATGTTACAGCTACACATACCATAATGGTGTCTTAGTGTTAATGCATGGCCAACACAGTTTTCTAAATGAAGCAGGCTTAGTGTGGAAGTATACAGATACTTCCGTCAGTGGCCATGCATGGAGTAAAGTATTTGTCAGTGTGCCACATCTGTGTGTGAATGGTCTCTGAGTTAGCTAGCTGTCTACACAGCAACTCACTTATAGCAAATGGACAGACCTTAATATTCCTGCCACACCATGTGTCACTGCTCTCTGTCTGCCGGTCACCGGTCAGCATGAAGGGTGTTAAAGGGATGTTTTGGAGCTCAAAGAAAGGAAAGCCACAGATTATTCTATTGGTTTTGAAACTAACACACATGTTTGAAGGTGCCATCAGTGATTCCTGCTTTTACTAGCAAACTATTTATTAAAAGAATCACTGATTGTCTCTTCAGTGTGTTTTGGGGTTTCTTTGTGTAACTGTAAATCAACAACATTATTGGCTGTGCATTATCCTTGACATTGAGCTTCCCACATCATCCCTGGGTTTTAGAGTTGTTGCATGAGTGTCTGTTGAGCTGCTGTTCTGTTTCTGGGTACCACAAACACTTACTGTAATGAACAGAAACATTCACATTACTGTTAGTGTTTCACACACTTGAGGAAAGGTTTAACTGATTCAAATCCCACCTGTTCCAATGTGGATCATGTGTTTAAACACCTCAAGTAGTGGAAACGCTCACAATTCGTATTTACTTTGAAGTTGTAAACGTGATGTGGAGTGTTATGCATGCGTTAGGCTATCTGTGTTTTTTTTCAAATGTGTGATGTTTTCCAAAGAACAAAGTTTGTCAAATGAAAAGCATTGTAATTGGTATTAAACCTTTTAAGTAACAAATTGCATGATAATGGCCAGTTTCAGAAGATATCTGGGGTAAGGTGGGAGTTTATGACATCAAATCCTCTCAAAAAAAGAATAGATGCCCTGTATAATGGATAACTGTTTTGATGGGATTCCTGGCTTGATAGAGGCTTGGAAACATATAACATAAAAAAAAAATTAAATCATGAACTCAACAACACTCAAACCCATGTCAGCTTTCTGTACCTTTTTGTCAAAGATTCTTTGTATGCACTTATTAATGCAATAACTTGTTAATGTACTACTTGTGGTAACAAACTATTCTTGACTTTAACTATAATCCACAACTGTTCTGTTAGAAATACACTTTGATCAAAAAACATCCGAAAAAACGTAATAAGAGAGACTCGATAATGGGTGTTTCTCAAGTTAAAGATGCTTCCTTGGTAGGATGGGTCCTGAAATTCCTCTAGAACAATTCAGTATTAAAGGACTAAAGTTGCAATGACATTCAACAACAAACCGTTACCACTTGTAGCACCAAACACACACATGCTCTGTCTTGGTGCTTTTGGGTCAATTATCCATCGTCATTGACTGTTGCAGTTCTTATCAACATAATGCAGAATATTGATAGGAATAACTGCTTTTAGGCTTAATGCATCTTTCTGTGTGCACTGAAGTATACATTAGGATACATGGTGCTGAGACATGAGGGAGGTTTGCCTTCAGTGTTTAGTCTTGCTCCTGCTGAGGCTGAAAAGTCTTTCACAAGGTGTGTGGCAGTGACTCCCATTATGGATCAACTGTTTCTCAATACAGACTGCGTATGATACAGTATTAGACTATTTTCTTCTGAAGTCTTTACCATCAAAAGTTTACTCATTATCTGTGCTTCTCATCCTAATATTTCCCACCTTTCCATCTCCCTCTCCTCTTTTTCATCCTCCTCCTCCTTCCTCCTCTGCATCTCCAGGGTAAAGTGGCCCAGACGGCGTGTATGTCAGCCTGCAAACATCTGTCCACGTCCCTGATGCAGATGGTGCTGGACACAGAACTCAAACAGATCAGCATGGGGGCCATTCAGCAATTCAACCTGGATGTCATCCAGTGTGAATGTAAGTATGATCTAATGGTCATTTCATGAAATCCTTCAAAGTTGAATTAAGATCTTTCTTCACCAGGGAAAAGTGAAACACGCAGACAAACAAATATAGACACAATCTAATTTGTATGCAAAATAAAAAAATTCTGAAACGAATCAGTAAACCAACAGCTTCTCTTACATTTAAAATTCTACAATTATTTTCATTTAGACTTTAGAGGGGAAGGGAATAAATAACTAATCAATCCTGGCCTTTATTGTTCACGGAACATATAACTTTCATCATTCATTTATTATTTTATTTTAAGCTATCAATAATCATAAGTGGTATTGGCCTTAAAATAACATGTTCTAGTCAGACTATAATGGCTAGCATGCTGTTGTCCTGTTGTCAAAATCAATGCTTTCATTAGGGGAACGTTTCCATATGTGGAAGAAACCTGTGGCATCCCATCATCTATGTTATTATTTATAGTCCATCACAATGAAAGTGAAAGTTAGTCTGTTCTTTTCACTGAGGTATATTTGTATCCCTTTTTTTATCTAGTGTTTTGTTGATGTGATTGTATGTGGTCCCATCAATATAAAGCGTACTTTTTTAGCACTGATTATCTGTAACCTGTGAAATGTATTTGATATTTCTGCTTCCTCTCAGTGTTTGCCAGCTCAGAGCCGGTTCCTGGTTTTCAAGGAGACACGCTGCAACTGGCCTTCATCGACCTGCGACAGGTAATCTATAAACTGAGCTGGATTGAATTAATTCACTTATGATGTTTCTCTGTAGGAAGACAAAGCTTCATTTACTGCTCCAATTATTATTTCATGGTAGTTATTTCATCAATGTGTGGATTTTCTTTGATTGGAGTAATAACAATCCTGGTGTTTGTTGCCATCTGTGTTGCGTTCAGTCTGCCATCCTCAGGCTATATCCACTCGCATACGTTTCATTTTAAAAGGTGTAACCTGTAGACGCTAACTCCTAGCGTCTACACTACTCCAACATTTTTGAACCTCTGATACAGGACGCTTTAGTCTTCACCACTTAACAATTATGTTATGAGTGTTATAGTTAAAAGATTCCAGAACTGCCAGAAGAAGAACAGTTTTTTATATTTACTTGAAATGTTTTCCACTTCACGTTTTAACTCTCAGCTGTCCCACATCTTACCTTTTACACATCTCAGCAACAATTTTGGGTTTAACTGGCCGTCTGTGTGTAACCTTTTCAACTTTCACATGTCCCTAAGTTCACCCGCTCAGGAAACATTCCTATAGCAACACACACGCACTAACCCCCTGCCTCCCTTCTTGTTGTAAACACCAGTGGTATGTAAAGTGTTGCCGGCTCTCATTACCTCGTGTCTTCGCTGACCGGTTAATCTGAGCCTGAGGTGGAGGCTTGGTTCTGAATCCAGTCCAGGTCACCGCAGTACTCAGCACGTTTGTTGAAAGTGCAAAAAGACCAGAGAAGATAAACCAACCTTTCACATTAAAACATTAAGGCAATTCTGTTGTGCATTTTCCCAGTCTGTATCAGTTTGAAATCCTTACACAGATAAGACACATAGAGCGTTAGATGCATTTTAGGCATAAAGATGAAGGGTCTTAATCAGCCTAGTTAGAGCTCAGACAAAAAGCCTTGACTGACAAGAAGGCTAGATCTGGATATGGAGTGCAATGTTTGTTATAATAAAGGCTTTTATTTTGATGCAGCAAGTAGAGGAATAAGACATATTTTTGACTCTTCTTAATCTCTCAAGACATGAGTTTTGTCGAAACAATTCAACAGTTGTAAACGCAGTAGTTGCATCTTATTAAAAGCTGTTATTAAAACTGTGAGCTCTAGATTTTCTATTTCTAATTCCTGCATATGAAGTAACGTTGTTTGGATTCTTTAGTGATCCCAGCAGTTCCCAGTGACCTGCTCTTTGTTTTGGGTCAAGGGGCCTTTTCTAGATTTATGCAACATCCATTTATTTTTTCAACAATACATCTGAGACTGTTACTAAAGTAGCTGATCCATTTTTGCAATATGTAAATCAAATATTGTCATTTGATTTCTCAATTTTTTCCCGCAGCTTTTTGAACACAGATTAAGTCCCATCATTTTGTTTTTTTCTTTGTATTTTATAGAAGATAACAGGTTCTAGGGTACACATCCAATAAACGCCACAAGATGGATCAACAAAAGCAAAACAAATGGAAAACACAAAGTGTATTGTGCAACGTTACGATCTAATGAAGATCTTCGTCTGGCTTCAGAATTCAGAAGGCCTTTATTCGTCCCACAGCGGGACATTTACATTGTTACAAAAATGGGGACAGTGCAGATAAAAATACTAACTTATTAAATAAAGAAGCAAGCATATGTTAATACAATAAAAAATGTATAAGTACACATCCCGATAGTAAAGATAACTTGCAGCATTATAAAAGTAATGAACATATAAAAGGAATGATCTAACAGTCCGTAAATAACAGTACCAAATGGTCAAAAGGTCAATATTGTTGCTAAACCTCTACATATTTTCATAACCTGAAGTTAAAGTAAACTACAACTATAGTTTAATATTTGATTTTTATATTTGCTGTTGTAATGTATTGTCTTCTGTTTGCGATCGCAGTAATGTGTTTTTTATTTGCATGTTCTCGACCAAAAATCTTTTTAAAATGTGCTATAAATAAAACCTGATTTGATTTAATACTCTTGGGTTTTACTGAAGCAATTGTGCTAAGAAACAAGAAGTGCTTCTTAACTCAACTGGTTCCCTCCGATGCAGCTCATTAGACAAGATGTGGCCATGTTCCTTTTATTCAGGCTGCTGGTTGACATGTTAATCCTAGCCCTAGGTGAAGGCTTTGGAGGCTTCCACAGGCCGGGGTGACTCCGAGGTCAGCCTTTACTTTCCCTTTATCTCACGGCTCCTGATTCCATATCTATAACTGCTTTTTAGATCCTTATCCTCCAACCATTTCAAGTGATTGAAAGTCAAACATGTAGGGCGACTGATGCTAAAAGGCTTGGAAAAAAGATTTACGTGATAGTATTTGCTTTTGCCTGCAATATAGTTGATGTGCTTACTTAAAACAAATCTTGATCAAGTATATTCTACACTTCAGTTATCAAATCACCTTTCATAAATAACATATTTCAAAAGTCTCGTCAATACAATGTGAACATTATTTATACAGTATTTCCTTTAAAGTGGCCACCTCAATAACCTGTGCATGACGAATATTTGAGTTTGACTTAATGATATATAAAATCATTTTAGATGCTTTTTTAGGAAAACGAAATGCACTTCTATTATTATAATGCAGCTATTTAGTTTTACCTGTACTTAATTGAACTTTTTTAATCCCAAATGCAATGTATAGAAAGGCAGTGAATGCATGTATGATGAACTATACTGAGGGTTGAATGTTAAGATGAATACAGTTATAGAGGCTAATGCGCTGCTGGTTGGGTGTGTGCTTGTGCCGCTTCTTCTTAGTATTTGAAGTGATCAGGTGATTAGGTTAGCAAGGCTAAAGTATATGCATCATGTGCACAAAACTGATTGAAAAGCATCTTATTGTCTTAGCGAAGGCTCTAACCAGCACTTACCTGCCCTCCTCTGGTCCTCAACAACACTCACAGCAAGCGTGAAGTAGCTAGGTCCAAGGGTTGGTGAGATAATACAAAGTCACGTATACACAGATAAAGAGATTTCTGTCGTTTTAGTTTGATCTCTATATGTGTGGTCATTGCGGAGACACACAATACGCTAATGCTTAATAACATATTGTTGTCAATAACATCAACACAGACAAATATTAAGACAAGATACAAGGAAAACAGACATTTTACATAACATCACTGTCACTAAAGAGAAACATGCCCAAGACCCTCTAACATACAGTACATTTGATTTCTTATTTGAATCAGCCTGAATAACTTGTGGCTTTGTGTTAAACATCTGAATGAATTTGGCCAGAAACTGACGGGAAAATTTGACTTTAGTTGACTTTGTTGCTTTGGACAAAAATCATAGGAGGAGAATATATATATATATATATATATATATCTGGTACATTCCCTTTTTTCATAGGCGTATCTCCTGAGGGTATAGGTTTGAATAAATAGGAGTGCTGCTTGGCCCAATATCGTGTAAATTGTTGGAGAAAGTTGTGAGTTACCTGTTTACACAATGCTTGCTAACAAGCTTGCAAGTGTTGACATTCCAACAAGGACAAGCAAACAGTGGCCTCACACTGAGTGTGGCAGTGTGATTGCATGCAAAGTCATACAGCAACATGAATAGATGCCGATTTGACTCTAGGTAATGCAAATTGTGGCAAAGATGCCTTTGTGTGAGTTAAACATGTTCCAGGCATTTACAAATATCAACATAGAAATCTGATATATGAACTGATCTTTGTTGTTTGTTTTGTTTTTTTATTGTGACCAACATCCATACTGAGCAGAATGTTTTACAGTGTAAAAATCAACTTGTCAGTGCTCTCTGGTTGATATGTAATGGAGATACTTTTCTTTCTCTGCTTGCTGCGCACAAAGGCACACGCATAAATGTACCGGGCAGTATGAGAGCAATCCAGCAGTCCATCATTCCATTTATTTATACAACCTCAATAACAACAAACCTATATTTTTTCCCCAATAAAAGGATAGTAGTCATATACTATAATAGTATGTAAATGTTGAAATGATGAAATCAAAAATGACTGTCTCTTACATGTCTGTTCGGGGCTGTATTTACACATTATACAGGCTTCTTAAAGTGTAAACATAGTGTAACAATGATTTAGAGTTGTCTCACCTCTTGACTACCACTCTGATGACAATGTAATGGTGACAGAGATAATAGCCTTGTATACAATTATTACTAATGTTTTACTTAACAATACTAGTCAATGAGACAATAGCATCTTATGGAACACATCCAAAGCCAAGCTTAATAAAGGGAAGGAAAGCAGATAGGGATTTCTCCAATTTCAGAACGCCAACACTCATTGTTTCAAAGTCAAATGTGAAACCTAAGATTGTCCCAACAGACCATGAACTAATAGATCGTTTATATGACACACATCTTTCTCTTTTCCTTCTGCTCAGACTCCTGCCATTAATCATAAACGGTCACCTCAGCCTAACCCTGGACACCAACACCATGTCACTTTCTACCTTCTAGGTTGAAGTTCCATTTTTGAATGAAATTATTTTAAAAAAGCAATCTTTAGAAGGCACATTGCCAAGTGCGTAAAGGTGGGGGGCCGATGGCTCCTTGCCGTCCAGTACATTTGTGACCACATTTTTACTATCTCTGAAAAAATACATCTACAGAAAAAAGAGTGAGAGACAGATGCTACCCAGTCAGTGTTCCTATCCTAATTGCTAATGCGACCTCTTCCAGCCATCGAGCAAAACATAGATATGGACGACTGGCATCGCCGTATGTCACCTTATTTGCCTATGGTTGTAAATAGGGCTAACATGCATCGGTGCATCCCTAATTTCAACCACTTGTGTCCGCAAGCCTATTCATTCAAAGCTTAATGCAGATAAATATTGGGAGGGTAGATTCTGAATTTGAACATTCAACACCATGGCCCTCAGTGATTTTTTTCAAGGAAAGGTCAACCTTTATGCAGTAAATATGCACACACTCAGCCTTTCTCTTTATCTCTCTGATGCCAAAAGAATATTTCCCAGAAGTGTTTACTATATCAATGTTTTTATAACATGACCCAGCAGAATCTGGCGCATTTCCACTGCAGGGCCTCGCACGGCTTAGTACGGTATAGCTAGGCCTTGGTAGGCCAGGCTCACTTTATGCTGCGTTTCCATTACAGTTTAGTAGCTGGGGCAGTAACTAGTAACGCAGTGTACTAGGCGGAGCCGTGACGTCATCTTCAATGCGAAACCCAAAACCAACATCAGCCGTTAGCTGTTAGCACTCACAGCTCACAGCTCCTCATATCTGTTCAGAAATTAGACAAAAGTTAAACAAGTACAAACCACAGACTGTCTGTGTCATGGCGAATACAGTCGCTGCTTTATTTATGTCTGTATAGACCGTTGTTGTGAGTTTGGACGGTCGGAGCATATACAACGTTAGCTTAGCCGATCTCCATTTAGAAAACACGCATTTTAAAAGGTTGTTCACCTGCCGTCTGTCTGCAGACTTGTCAAAGCATTAATTCATGGTTTTTACTAACCGGTATCAGTATGTTGTTACCTCGGCATCATTTTGAAACGTGTATTACAATTAAATCATGGTCAAATATGTTAGTTTTGTTGTAGTTGTAGCCCCCTTGCCAGCGATTCTCTCTGACCATTCAGCAGTCGAGAGTGTTTACGTCACTAGTTTAGAATATTCAGCCCGGTTGTTGGCCCGGTAAGACAACCCAGTCTCACGGCATTTCGTGTTATAGTCACGACATTTAATCTATATATTCGTGTTCACCAACACGATTTTCCCCTTTTTTTCGTGTCTCACAGAACGATTTTAAAAGCAATGTATTTCTATTGGTAGTATGTTTCGTGCCTGCAGCACTTCTTTTTGTCCGTTCGGGTCTTGGAAGACCGGAAGCTGTGGGGTTCATAAAAACATGTTTTTACTCAATATCAAGCCACGATTATTGTTTTTATTTTAAATCGTATAATGTCTGACTTTTTTTGTCGTCTGTGAGGAAAAGAAATGGGGCTCAGAGCCTCCGAATACTGAAATCTGTATTTAAAAAAAAAAAAATGTCCTTCTAACTTTGTT